AAAAATGGAAAGGAGGTCAGATCATGGAGGGTGTGAGTGTGGCTTTTATTCTGTCAATCATGGCAAGGAATACGCCCAGCAGCATGCTTGGCAGGGTGCGCTCTGGCCTCTGAGCACAGGGTGAGGGGAGACAAGAAGCTGCAACAGCCCTGGGGAGGCCGTTGTAAGACTCAGGGTGAATAGGGATCATGGTCTAGACATGGGTGGAGGTGGCCCAGCTGAGAGGAAGGGCTGGGTGCCAGAGCTCCTGTCAGGCGGTGTCATAGACCTGGTGAGCACGGCTTTCTTTTCCAGAGGTGCCCAACCTTTCAGCCTCCAGTTCTCCTCTCTAGTGTGATTTATGAAGAAAATTCAATAATCTCTGACTGGGTTTTACTGAGTAAAGGTAACAACAGAGGAGGCCAGCCCACCCCAGTCTCTCTGACCTCAGCAGGGGGAATTGGTAGTGCAATCAGAAATGAAGTCCTTAGTGGATTCCTGCCTCTTCCTTCTGTGTTTGCGAAATGTCAGCTGTCGGCTGAACCTCCCACGGCGATTCATTCTATTCCATATAATGACATCTGATTTTCTAAGACTTTCAGCTTCATTTCACTGAACAAAAGCCGTTCAAGGATCTTGTCCTGGAGGGCAAAGCAGGCGTGCAGTCTCTTGACTTCTTTCATGCTCATGATGTTGCCGTTGGGTTTGGCTTTGGGAACCTTTGGTTTATCTGCCTCTTCCTGAACTCACCATCACAGAAAGAGGAAAAGTTGGTTAATGATATCCCCTCCCATGCCAGGTGATTTATCAACATCATCTTAATCAGTTGTCATGAGCAGCCTGAAAGGAGAGCATCTTTGCCCATCTTGTGGGTAAGAAAATTAGAGCCCCGTGGAGGAAGGTCCCTTTCTCAGCAGCATCCAGCCTGCATGAGAGCCCTCGACTGCCAGGACCCACAGTTGCCTTTGGTTCAGAGGAAGAAATGAAATGGCCCACTTATCTGCACTCACAAAGGCCATAAAACCCTTAACCCAATGTCTCTGTCTCCAGAGTTTGTCTCTCAGAGACCTCCTTGGTCAGGTCCCAGAAAATCTCCAGCTGCCAAGTCAGTGTTCTCATGATTATCTCTGTACTCCTCCTCTGCCTCCCACACAGTTAATAATAACACTTCATTTTTTTTCTTTTTGGATTCAGCTACAAATGTCTGATCTTTAAAATCATTTAAGAATTTAATATTTCAGACATGCAAAAAAGTAAATATTGTAACAAATGCCCATGTTCCCACACCCACTTAAGGAATAAAATATCACAAATGTGATTGAAGTCCCCTGTAGATCCCTCTTCTAGGTATTCCTCTCCCCTCCCTGAACCTCATCTCAACTGCAGTCCTGAGTTTGGCATTTGTTTTTTCCATTCATTTCTTTATACCAGTGGCTCTCAATGGGTGGGTATTTTGCCCTCCTCAAGGGGCATTTGGCAATGTCTGCTGACATTTTTGGTTATTATAAGGGGGTGAGGGTGCTTTCCTAAGGATTCTGGTAAACATCCAACATGCACAGGATACTCCCTCGCAACCAATAATTATCCCATCCAGTGTCAGTTGTGCCAGGTTGAGAAATCCTGCCTCAGAATACTTTCATATGTATCCATAAACAAGGCAGGATACTGTTTTGCATGTTTTTAAATTTTATATAGAAGATGTCATAACATAGGTACATTTCTGCTGTGTTCATTATCCTATTTTAGAGCTGTATCTATATCTACGTTACACATGTACCTTTAGTTTATCCATTTAAATTTTTTTCCACTTTTAAGTCATTGTTATTGTTGCCAAAGCATGTTGACATCAGACATGAAATAGAAGAGTCTGGGATGGTCCCTATTTTTCAGCAGAGGGAAATGAGGTCTTGTGTAGGAAGAATGCTTTGTCATCTGTCACCCCAGAGGGAGCTGCAGAGTGGGGACCTAGACCAGGGGTCATGGGTTCCTCAGTCTCACCCCATTCTCCTGACATCTTCCCTGTCTGCCACCCCAATCTAGCTGTAAATTCCCCATCAAACCCAGCTGAAGCCAGGGCCCCTCTTGCTCACCTGCTGGGACTCTGGTGGGGTGGGCTTGAGTTCACAGTTGACCAGCCAGTTGCTAAGCAACAACAGAAGGAATAAGAACCCAAACAAGGCTGCCTTATAGCCGATCAGCCAAGCCACCAATGCTCCTATGGTACCTGAGGAAGCAATTAACCCATAGATATTCCTAAAAAGAGGCATTAGTTCCCTCAGCATTATGGCTTAGAGGCACCCAGGCCCTGAGACTCTGCCTCAGTGCCCCATCTCAGAGATTTGCCCTCCGTGACAGAAGTCACAGCTGCCCCTTCCTCTGAGTCATAACCAGCCCCACCTCCCCCAGCTGCCGCATAACAATATTAGACACTCCTATGTCTGAAGTAGCTACTGTGTGCCAGACTTTAACAGGCACTTTGCAAGCATAATCTCATGATGTCCTCACAACAGCCAGGTGATGTAGGCCTTAGGTGACATAGGACTTCATTCCTTCAATAGTACTTCTGGGCCTAACCACTGGGAATAAAATGGCTGGCAATATAGAGCCCCTACCCTCATAGTGAAGGAGATTGTGAAGAAAAATTACTCAAAATTTGGGAGGAAGACAAAAAGATTACCGTGAGCTCAAAGTCAAACTAGAATATTGTCGAACTGGTCCACCTGTTGACCACTTGATGCTTTAAGTGAAGATAACTTTGTTTGACTTACTGTTTAATATTGATTAAGGTCCTGACTCTGGAAAGTCAGATGCCAAAAAGTCAGGTAAGTAGATAAGTTGCTCCAGCAATTCCTCTTCTGGGTATATATCCAAAAGAACTGAAAGCAGGATCTTGAAGAGGTATTTGTGCACCCATGCTCACAGCAGCATTACACAATAGCCAAAAGGTGGAAGCAACCCAAAAACCCATCAAGAGATGAATGGATAAATAAAATATTGTATGTACATACAATGGAATTATATAGCTTTAAAAAAGGAAGGAAATTATGAAACATGCTACAACATGGATGAACTTTGAGTAGATTATGCTAAGTGAATGAAGGAGGACAGTGTGTGTGTGTATGTGTGTGCACATGTGCACATTCCAAAACAAATCTTTTTTAACAAATAAAAAATGCTGATGTTAAGTTCTTATTTGGCCACAAAAATAGAATAATAATAAAACCAAGATAACTCTTAAATATGATTAGGATGATAAATTTTATGTTATGCATATTTTACCACAATTTTTAAAAAGTGAAAGCTATTTCTGGAAAAAGATGGGTAGGTTGCACATGATTATATTTTGCATATAGATACAAATGAGTTCTGTTTGATAGAAAGGATAACCCCACTGTTTAGTTTTATGGCCTTGTAGAACATTATCCAATTTTTTCTTATAGAACTTTGCCATCTTATTCCTGCATTCTGTTTTACTGCAGTCAGTTTCTCATATTTTCCTTTGAACCAACTTTAGCATCATGCTGCTTGTCTCAAAAGAGAGTTAAATAAATCTTTGACATATGCTCGATATTTTGTATGAGAGTTCTTTACATTCAAATAGCAATTTTAATGGCCATCAGGTATATTCAATTAGTTGCCACTTGGGGCTTTGGATTAGTTCTCCTTAATTGTTATTACCTATAACCTGAGATAAACAGCATTAAAGTTAAACCCTTGTATGTATACTTAAATATTTCCCTATGTTTTACTGAAACCAGGACTGCTTGGTCAAAGGATATACATAATTTAAAATCAAATTTTAAGTTTTATTAAATTAATAAATGTGCAAAAAAGTCAGAACTACAGGATTGAAAATAAACAAGTTTCAATCTCCTATCTTACCCCCTCCCTCAAATTATACAACTCAGATAACCAATCCCAGCTTTTTCAGCTGTTTCTTCTGGTATTTATTTTGATATATCTTATAGTATGTTTATGGTGTTATTTCTTGATTTATTTTCACATTATGTATTATATTTTTATGATGGAAGATGAGGACTTAACCTCCTATGCAGAACCTTCCCCATTCCCACTTCATCCCTCCTTCCAGAAACCTCTTATCCCTCTCCTCCACAAATTTTCTCTTTTCTCCATTCTCTCAAAATAATTCTATCACTTTGGTTAAAACAGTATTCATTGCTTACGTTGTTAGGGCCATGTCAATGGAGGTCACAGCTGAGCCGTATGTTGTACTATGATTACACTTTCTTGAATAGCTTCTAGTTTTCCTGGACTTGACTGCCTCTTTTTTTTCTGTTTGTTTAGCTTTAAAAAAGCAAAAATTCAACTTGAATGAAGTACAATTGACATAAAATAAAACATACTTATTTTACATGTAGAGTACAATGAGTTTTGGCTAATATATACACCACCGCCATCAAGATATAAAAATTTCCGTCACCCCCAGGAGGTTCCCCACTGCTCTTTTGCAGTTAACCCCTTACCCTTGTCCAGGCAACTCTATAATTAGAGATTAGTTTTACCAGTTCTTGAATTTCATGTAAATGGAATCATTTTTTAAAAATACTTTGAAGAGACAGACATGTAAAAAACCAATTACAGTTCTGTGTAATGTGGAAATAAACCTGAAGAACACAAAGCCTCTGTGTTGGGTCAGTGAAGGATTCCTTCAGAAATTAAAAGAATAAACTGCCTCCACCATCATCAGTATTAGAAAGAATTACCCCGGAATAGAAAGCCGTGTTATGTATGGAGCTGGAGAGGGAAGGACGACATAGGGAGTGGGAGGAGGTCCACACACAAGGGAGGGCACAACAGCCCTGGAGGCAAAACCAATACAGTTTGGACTCAAACCTGAATTTAACTTCTATTTTATTCCCACGAAACTCATTTGCTCCCCCAAATTAACCCCAGTCCAAGCAGGCCAATTATAAATAAATGAGATGATTTATCATTTACATTTCAGTGTTTTCCCCTCTCTAGACTGTAAGCTCTTTGAAAGAAAGAACTACATACTTAAACCCTTGTCACATAGCGTGCGTTAATGGATATTGGTTAAATTGACGAGCCGGTAAGTGAATGAATGAGTGAATGTATGAATGAATGAATTTATGAATCCACGCAAGTCCCTGGATGAAACGCAAGTCGCCCTTGGAGGTGCAGTCTGGCCCAGAAGCCCTACGACCGGGATAGTGCCGGGACCGACTCCAAAAACCAAGGAGACTCTCTAGGAAAGCATCGCGCTCTTTGCCATGGCGCCACTCTAGCCCCAAGGACGCCGCTCTATGGCAGCGAGGGAGGGTGGGGCCGCAGGCGTCTCGGGCCTTTTTGTCCGGCGCGGCGGGAGCGCGCTTAACGCGTGCGTACTCGACGGCTGCTGGCAGCGCGCGGACTGCGTGAAGTGCGGCGAGGCTAGGTGGCTCCGGACTCACGGACCGACAGGGCGAGCGGCCCCTACGGCCGTCGGCGGCCAGGAGGCCGGAGATGTTGTCTGGGAAGAAGGCAGCAGCCGCGGCGGCGGCGGCGGCGGCTGCTGCGGCGGCCGGGACCGAGGCCGGCCCTGGGGCAGCGGGCGGCGCGGAGAACGGCTCAGAGGTGGCCGCGCCGCCTGCGGGCCTGTCGGGCCCTGCCGAGGCTGGGCCGGGGGCGGCCGGAGAGCGCACTCCCCGAAAGAAGGAGCCTCCGCGGGCCTCGCCGCCTGGGAGCCTCGCCGAGCCGCCCGGGTCCGCCGGGCCTCAAGCCGGGCCTACCGTCGTGGCCGGGTCAGTTACCCCCATGGAAACGGGAATCGCAGAGACTCCGGAGGGACGACGGACCAGCCGGCGCAAGCGGGCGAAGGTGAGCCCCGACCCCCTCCTTCAAACCACAGATCCGGTGCCTCGCTTCCTCGAGGTGTCCAGCCCCCAAACCTCCTCCTCTCTTTCCCCGGCCTTGAACCCTGCGCCCACCCAGACGGCCGCAGTCAGTCGTATCCCCACCCCGTCACCTCACCAGCCGAGTGGGTGGGGCGAAAGAGGCGACGGTCCTTGCCGGTGTTCAGTGTGGTCTTTGTGCTGGGACCGGGCCGTCCTGGGAATGGGGTTTTGATATAAGGGGTATTTTACTCATTACATTTTGTACACTTTTTCATTTTCTTGACCGGAAAAAATGACTCCCTGACGTAGAGTTATGGTTGGCGTTGCTGGAGACATAGCACTTGTTTGTTCACAAATGTATCTGAGTGCTGCTCAGCAGTATTTATGGAGTTTCAACTGGGAGCATATTGGGGATGTTGGGTGATGCTAAAGGAGTTGCCTTAGCCCTGGAGACGTAAAAGAAAGGAACGTTTTTTTTTTTAACCCTTGCAGTCCGCTGGGAGTTTTCCTTTTATCCTCTCCGCAATCTTTTGACAGATTTTTACAGATGAGAAAGCTAACTAAAAGGGTTGATATCAGTTAGTCAAAGTGCAGATATATGGGAAGAAGAAGATTTATCACAGAACAGTAAATACAGACGAAAGCTGCCTCACTAATCTGGGTACCAGATGCTGTGTTCAGAGCGTCACCAAAATTTTATTTTTGCTAAACACCACTATGCAGGTATTGTTAGGCCCATTTAAGGAATGAGCAAACTGAGGCACACTTGCCTAAGTTCAAGCAGCTTGCCTATGTCACATAGCTGAGTAAGTGGTGGAACCAGAACGTAAGCTCTCCACTTCCGTTGTGATACGATACCATAAGCTTCTGAAAACGAAGGACCACATGGAACACCAGCAGTGTGCTGGGCACTGGGGCAGTAGTCTTAGGGTTCAGACTTTAAACGTGGATCTTTTCATGGTCCAGTTGAGAAAACCGGAAACATACGTACATGTCATTTTTAAATAAGTAAATATTTTAAATCGTGTGATGTGATTTATATACTTTATGCATATACAGATTTTCTATCTGCATATAATGTTTTACTAGGTATATCAAGGTAGTGTGTATAAGGATCTTCTTGAGATGAACAGTACCCAGACTAAGGCCCCTCAGATCCAGCTACCCACTTAGGGATTTCTTTCCAAGAACAAATACCTTGTGCTAACTAAGAGGAAAGGCTTTTGGGGACTTCTACCAAACATGGGTTAGAAAATCATAGAGGTTACAACTTCCATCTTTCAGAAGTGATACAGAAGCAGAAGCCCAGAATGGTTTTATTTTACCATTTTAATACAAAGTGTGGCCAGAAACCATGTTGATAAGCTGTTTTTTAAAAATGGGGTATATTGGGATAATTCACATATACCATTAAATTTACCACTTTT